AAATATTTACCCAGTGAGGGATAGATCCAAACCAGGCTCCCTCTCAACCTACCTCGGAGGCAGGCCACTCCAGCCAGGAGTAGCAGCAATGTCCCTGCATAGTGAGAAAACGGCACCACTTTGGACAAGCTCAAGTAACCTGGGAGGGGAGAGGCACCACGTGAGAAGCTCTCCCTACTGTCCCTTGGCATCTCTTCCCAGGTCAGCCCCAACCCCTCCCCCTTCCCTCTCTTTGGGACAACCATGCCCTCTGAGGAAGAAGACCCCTGATGGAAGAGGGAAGCCAAGCCAACCTCACAGGTCCCCTTTCCTCTTTGGGGGGGGGGGTTGGCTCAGCTGTCAACAACCTGCCCACCACCTTTGAAACCACACTGACCTTTCCTGTATAAGTAGAAGAAGGCGAAGGGAGAGGAGTAATAAGAGATGGACCAGAAGACTGAAGCCTGCAGCAGAGAGATGGGGACAAGCAATCAATACACACACACACACACACACACACACACACACACACACACACACCTGCCATTTCCAGGCCTAGGCTCTGACCAAAGTGAATAACCTGAGGGAGAGCGTATCAAGTACCTATTCTGTGCATGACACAATAGGTGCTTAATATTTGTTGAAAAGCAATGTATCAGAGCATAACAGAGGCTGGGAAAATTAGATACAGGTTCTGTTTTCTTCCTCTTATCTCCGGACATAATTTCATCAACATTGAAAGGCCAGTTTCTCTTTCTACTCAAGTTAATCAAGCCTTTTCACTTGGCCCTGCTCAGGACAGTGCCTGGCCTGGTCCCCAAGAGATGCACACACGTCACCACAGGAGCCCTGCCAGAGAAAACAGCTGTCTTTGCAGCCAAAGAGGTTAGTTGCCAGGGAGGACAGGTCACTGGGGACCACAGGACTGAGCACCTGCAGATGGTCCCAAGAGTAAACACATTTTCCTCGGGGTCAGGCTGCCCCAGAGAAAGCGGTGCACACACCAAAGGGGAGTGCCAAGGATGTGTGCTTGACAGCATCTCTGTCATCTCTGTGACAGCATCTCTGTGTGTGTGTTGAAGTCTGCTGCAGAGCCCAGAACCTCCCCCACTCCCAGGGGCACTGCCTTCTCCCAGGCTGTAGGGGAGAAAGTTCGGGAGGGCAAGTGGGTCGGAAAAGATGCAGTAGCCCCAGGTGGCAGGGCAGACATACCAGTGCCAGGATGCTGTCCGCATGTTTCTCCAGGGCACGGGGCTGATAGTACGTATCCTGCAAAAGCAGATGGCTGGGTCAAGGGCCGTGTCCATTGACAAGTCCTTCACTTTCTCTTTTGAAAGCCTTGTTGTGTGTCCTCTGGTTCTAGCCTCCAAAGCTATCCCTCCTCGGACATCCCTGTCTCCCACAGAAGGCCCTCTTTCCACCCCTCCACCCCCACTCCAAAACCTCATTTCTAGGGCTTCTCCACCCAACCCCTAGACCATGAGAACATAACGGGCTGGACTTGGGAGCAAAAGTGAAATTTCACTGGATGATTTTTGTTCCCTTTCACAACCCAGTTTCAAATGGGTGGTGGGCATGTGCATATGGTGAGAGGAGTTAGAGCAGCAGAAAGAAAAGACACCATGACATTTTCAGAGGGAAAGAACAGAAATAACAGTGGGGTGATTAAAGAAGAGAATGTGGCTGACGATGGACAGTTTGTAGAGAACAGAAACATAAATTGAGACTACCAGTAAAAAGGTGAATATCGTGTAGGGCCACAGCCTACCACCACTCCCAGCTTTCAGGAATGCAAGCACCCTGGGGTCTCCAAAGTAGGTTAGGGGGTTGGGTGAGGGACAGTGGATACGTGATACGTTGAAGTCATCTTGAAATTAGAGGCCAGGATAGGGGCGTCTGGGTGGCTCAGCGGTTAAGTGTTCGACTTCGGCTCAGGTCATGATCTCACGATCCGTGGGTTCGAGCCCCGCGTCAGGCTCTGTGCTGACAGCTAGCTCAGAACCTAGAGCCTGTTACAGATTCTGTGCCTCCCTCTCTCTCTGACCCTCCCCTGCTCACAGTCTCTCTCTCTCTCTCTCTCTCTCTCTCTCAGAAGTAAATAAAACATTAAGAAAAGAAATTAAAGGCCAGGGTAAAGGGAAGATAAAATAGAACCAGGGAAAACACCTAGCACGAAGAAACCTAGAGTCTGACGGCAAAATCATCCAGCTCTCGAGTCCGCGCAGGGTCTCCTCCAGGACTTAGAGTCAATTGGGACCAGCACGAACCACGACAGACAGGGTAGGGGGCCTCAAGAGGAAAAAGCAAGGAGCGATAGTCGGAATGAGAAAGCAGTGGCAAACCGCGATAAAGGAGGCAGCCAGTCCACAGGCGTGACTTTAACCCAGGAAGCACAAAGAGCACTTCGCAGACAAGTGGCTTGACAACCAGGCTCCCCCGATTTCCAATAATGGGCGCTTCTGCGGAGCAAAGGCCGCAAAGGGGTTTGGGCCGTACCATGTTTTTGACCAGGGGAGAACTCGACTCACCCAGGAGCTGGAAGGGGAGGTAGTGACTGAAGTTGGAGTCTCGGGGACGCCGGACGGGGCCCTTTCCGAGTCCCTTTCCCGGTAGATTTTGTAGAGCCGGGGGCCTAGGACGCAGCTCAGCAGCTTCGCCATGGCCCCGGCTCGGGCCGCTGCTCTCCCAGCAGCAGGTCCCCTTGCCGGCCCCGCCCTTCCCCGGCCTCAAAGGTACTGCGTGCCCTTTGACGTCAGCACGTACAGGCCCCGCCTGGTGCCGAGCGGAGACATTTCCGCGCTGAGACGGGCTTCTGGTAGTTGGACCTACGGGTAGAGCAATGGTCAGAAATTATTTGGCGGTGTTTGAAACGCGGAGAGTTACAACCTTATCAGGTGTAGTTCAGTCACTTTTTTCTGTCCCTTAACGTTGGCCGACTCTCGAGCGACAGTGGGAACGAGAGTAGGATTAGGAACACTTGACAAGAGCAACGAAAAAGAAAAGGTGTCTCGGAATACGTAAAATCAAAGAAATGCAAGATTTTATGAAGAAAATTGCGATGTTTTTGAAAGAGGTAAACTGAAGGCTTGAATAAGTGGAGTGTTACATCGCAGTCATGAATAGGAAGACTCCGTGTTGTTAAGGTGTGTGAAATACTGGTTTAGAAAATAAAGGATGCATTATCGTTCTTAAGCGTGGACGAATCTCAAAGTGGTTGAGTGGAAAAAAGAAAGCTATAGATTACATACAACCTGACATTGCATTTCAAAAATAAAATTTAATGATCAACTAAGTGCAGGATAAAGAGCAAATTTAGAATAGTGTAACACAACATATAAATGGTAATACTGTTACTTAATAGACAGGTTTAGGTTTGTCTTATTTTTCTTTGTACGTTACACCTACATTATATATAAATTCTTTAGCTTTTTATTGCAGTAAACACATATACAGAAAAGTGCACCATTAGAGTATTTCCATGTAATCAGCATCCATATAATACTAGAGGGGAGGGAGGACATGGGTTAAATAGGTGATGAGGATTAACGCATGCACTTGTGATGAGTGCCCTGTGATGTATGGAAGTGTTGAATCAGTATATTATACATCTGAAACTATTATAACACTGTATGTCAATTAACTGGAATGAAAATAAAAAAGAAAACATTAAAGTGGCCCCTGGGTGGCTCAGCCAGTTGAATGTCCGACTTTGGCTCAGGTCATGAGCTCACAGTTCACCACTTTGAGCCCCACATTGGGCAAGCTGCTGTCAGTGCAGAGTCTGTGCCCTTCTGATTCTCTGTATATGCCACTGCCCCCCCCCATCCGTCCCCTGCTCACACATTCTCTCTCTCTCAAAAAAAAAAAAAAATTAAAACTATATCTGCCATAAAAAGCCACTTTAAAAATAAATAACCTTTAAAAATAAATAACACGTTAAGAACTATTAGAACTAGGGTGACCAAGTGGTTCAGTTGTTAAGCATCTGACTTCGGCTCAAGTCACGATCTCATGGCTCATGAGTTCGAGTCCCATATCAGGTAAGCATAAGCCCTGCTTCGGATGAACCCTGTTTTTCTCTGTCTCTCTCTGCCCCTCCTGGGATTCTTTCTCCCTGCCCCTCACTCTTGCGTGTGCTCTCTCTTGTCTCTCTCTCCAAAAAAAAAAAAAAAAAGAAAAGAAAAGAAAACCCCCCAAAAAAACTCTGGGGTAGAGGGGTGAATTGGTAAATTCTGCAAACCCCTGTTATCCTTTTCTTTTTTTAGTAGTAACGTAATATACTTATCAGGGGTTGAGAAGAGATCTGTGGTATGCCAGGCAGCCACAGGGAAAATCATTTTAAATTATTTAGGAAGTATTGGCTGGGTATGCAGTCTTGTACTGAGTTTTGTGGAGACCAACATGAAGATTCAGCTTCTTCACTTATGATTGACATCTCTTAGGGTGGAGGAGAGAGCACAGAATGTACTTTCAGACTAAATGGAGGTGAACTGGGGCGCCTGGGTGACTCGGTCAGTTAAGCGTCCAACTTTGGCTCAGGTCGTGATCTCACAGTTTGTGAGTTCAAACCCTGCGTCAGGCTCTGTGCTGACAGATTCTGTGTCTCCCTCTCTCTCTGACCCTCCCCTGCTCACGCTGTCTGTCCCTCTCAAAAAAATAAAATGTTAAAAAATTTTGAAAGGAAAAAAAATAAATAAATGGAGGTGAACAGCTGTGTCCCCTTCTATGCAGGCTTTTTAGCGTGAACAGTCTTTAATCTGTGTCCTTCAGCTGATGTAGAGTCAGAAGTGTGAGGAGATCATCTTCAGAACAGACTGGACTGGGTCTTTTCCCCCTTGGGACTGAAAGGTGGTGGTCACTTCTTCCCCAGTAGACACGAAGCTGGGCTTTATCTCCCCAGCACTCTCATCCCCTCAAGAGGACCATGTCACCCCAGACCAGGGAGTGCTGGCTTTTATCTGGGTTCTGTTTCCTCCATGGGGCACCAGGTCCTGGGCAAGAGAACTTGGCAGGCTCTCCCCATGGCGGTCTTATTCCTCCTTCTTCTGTCCCTATGTGGTCCCCCCCAGGCTGCTGCAGGTAAGGAGCTGGAGGTGGGGGGTTCTTCAGCTATTTGCAAAGTTGGGAGGAACTATTGCTTCTCCTTAGGGGCCTGCGGATGGCGTGTGACTCAAAAAAATAGATTTACCCCAACTGACTTCCCCCTACCTCTAATTCTGGGGAAGACCCAGAGACAATGAGGGTCCAGATCATGTACAGTTTCCCTTAGAAAATAAGAAGAGATACATAAATGCTTCTAGAAAAGGAGAAATGAGAAGAAGAGATAAGGGTATGTGCCAACTATTCCAGCCTTTTCCCTCTTGCCTTCAGATTCTCTTACCCACCCATTAGGAGGAGAGGGGAGGAAAGCCCTACCTTCTTCTCCCCTCCTCACTTTTTTATAGCTGTCACTTGAGAATTGTGCTCATAGCAAGACCCATGCTGGGAGACCCCACAAGGGGCAGAAGCCAGGGGTTAGAGGTCAAGTGGGAGCTGTTGATCTGATGGAGGTTTCTAGCATCATAAAACCCCCTCTCTACAGACAATATCCAGGCCATCTATGTAGTCTTTGGGGAGGCAATGGAGCTGCCATGTCCCGCACCACCCACTCTGAGTGGAGACGAACTCCTGTCCTGGTTCCGCAGCCCTGCAGCAGGCTCCTCCACTGCCCTGGTGACCCAAGTCCAAGTGGCCAGGCCAGTCCCAGAACCTGGAAGGTCCATAAGGGCATCCAGGCTCAAACTGCTGGGGAACTACTCTTTGTGGCTGGAAGGGTCCAAGGAGGGAGACGCCGGGCGGTACTGGTGCGCCATTCTGGGTCAGCATCACAAGTACCAGAACTGGAGGGTGTATGATGTCTCCGTGCTCAGAGGTGAGTGGAGACATGCGGATCGGGGACCACTGGGGGCCAGGAAGCCCAGCAAAAAAACTAAGAGGTCCCTCTCTCCTCACAGGGTCCCAGCTATCCGCGCGGGCTGTGGATGGATCCCCCTGCTCTGTCCTCTTATGCTCTGTGGCCCCTGCCAGACACCTAGACTCTGTGACCTGGCTGGAGGGAAGGGGTCCTGTGAGGGGCCATACACAGTCGTTTTGGAGCGATGGGGCTGCCCTGCTCTTGGTGTGTCCTGGGGAGGGGCTCTCTGAGTCCAGGGAACATAGACCAAGAATCATCCGCTGCCTCATGCCTCATAACAAAGGGGTCAGCTTCAGCCTGGCAGGTAAACTGAAGGAGGATATGGGAGAGGATATTGCCTCTGGAACATTCTGCACCTGCTGGGTAGGGGAGGAGGACGTGACTTTGTAACTGGCCAGATTTGGGTTGGGGGTGATTTCTGGTGCAGCAGATCATCACCTGTAGGGGGACAGGGCTTTTTTCTCATTGCCTAACTCTGTAACAGAGAAGGGGGTTGATTAAGCCAACTTTCTGGTGGAATAGACCACTGGCCAAGAAGGGCAAGAAGGATTCTGGTGAAATATACCATTATTTAGAAATAGGGTAATCTAGGATTTTTGTGGACTATTCCATATCAGAGAGGAAGTAAATAAGAATTATTGATGGGAGAATTGTCTTTTGAAGAAAATATATATGCACTGATGTTATAATGGCCTACTGAGAGTGAAAGTAGAAGGAGAAAAATGTATAATTGTTTTCCAATTAAAGGTCCATTATACATAGAAAGAATGCCATTGGATGTAGGATAACCCCTTTACAAAGCAGGTGGGAGGAGCAAATTGCCATCACTTTGGAAAGCAAAGGCCAATTAACAAGCAGTGACTGGGTCTTATTTCCCTCTAGAGCTCCAGCACCTAATGTGGCACCTGGCATTTGGTGGGCACTCAGTGAATGTTCATGCAGTGAATGAACGGAAGAATTAATGAGTGGAAGGCACTTTGTTCTTGAAAGTTTGGATTACTCTTAAGGAAAGAGTGCAGTTATGACTGCCAGTCTGCTCTGGGATTAGCTGTACATATATGGGAAGCGGTGTATTGCTATTTGTTCACAGGGTCAGGATGAGAGGCTTGAAAATGGGCAAAGTGGGTTGGTAGAAACTGGGGCAAAGATGCTTGTGAAATCTTCTGGTGGGAAGAGCCCACAAGACTATGGGGGAAGCCTCTCTTTGGGACACGAGAACAGACCTCTCACCACCTCCCTCCTTATCCCTATTGTCTTGCCCCTACTGTAGCCCCCGTGGATGACTCCCCTGCCCCCTGTGCCCCTGCCGTGGGCTGGGATGTATCCTGGATCCTGATGCTGTTGCTCACAGCAGGTCAGGGGTTCACCATCCTAGCCCTCAGCATCATGCTCTGGAGACAAAGGGTCCAGGGGGCTCAGTGCAGAGGTGAGTCCCTCCCTCCCAGAGGAAAGAAGAGAGCATGTGGGTGTGAGGCAGAAGGTTGGGCTCACATCTTGCCTCTATACCCTATTTCTCTAGAGGAAGAGGGTAGTAAGGAATATAGCTGTGAGTTATCTGGTAATTTCTCTTGCTGCACCCCGTATGGCTCCTTCTTCCCAGATGCCTCGATTCCTCATTTCAAACCCGAAATCCAGGTCTATGAGAACATCCATGTGGCCCGTTTCAGGTGAGAAACACTAGGGGGTACAATTGGGATGGGTATGGAATCCTAGTTCTGAGGAGGTAGAGTATGGAAGTATACTTAATCTGTCTTTCTGCTTCACAAAACCCACAGCCCGCCTGCCCCCAAGATCAGATGATCTCAATGACATCTGCTGGGAAGTATGACCTGCTGTCTCTCCAGCCATCTGGCACCTGAAAGATTCGCCTGAAAACCTTGGCAAGGGGGGAGGGGTTAGGAGTGCTACTTTACAGTCCAGCTGGTCTCCAGCAGTCAAGCTGTGTGTGTGTGTGTGTGTGTGTGTGTGTTTTGGAGGGGGTTGCTGAAGGAAAGGAGAACCATTATCTTGTGACATCACCTATGAGAAAATGTGGTCTCCTGTTTTATAATAGCCAGTGAAGAGGTGGCCCTGAGCGCCCAATCCTATGGGATTGAGGGGAGCCTGGGGTAGGGGGCAGAGGATGAGGAGATGTCGGGATAGACAGAGAGGAGATAGAAGAATCCAAAGACTTAAGCAGTGGTGGAGAATCAGTCTTGGGGAAACCAAAGGACAAATGGAAGAAAGTGAAGGAGAGAAAAGGGAAGGACTCAAGTAAGAGGAAGAGATGGACAGAGAGAAACAAATAGAAGCACCAGGTAGGAGGATGGAATGACAGAATGGAAAGAAGACTCAGGTTGCTTCTAAATTATGCCAGACCACCCCACCCCTACCCCCAACCCCTCATCCCTGGCACAGTCTCATTTTCCCAGAGAAGAAGTTGAGGGAGAACAAAGACCTTTAATCAGACCTCAGACTTCCTTGCATGGAAGGGTAGGGCACTGAGTCAGGATGGGGGTGGCTGTGCTCAGCTCCCACTCTGAGCCACCGTCCTTATCCTAGCACTTCATTGTGGCATCCGGAGTGGTGAGAGGCTTATCAACATCCTGACATCCTGGGAGCCCCAAGAGTCACATGCTATCTCCTTGGTAGGAGGAGTGTCCGCAGGGGTGGGCGGGTGGATTCCCCGGTGGGGTGTGTAATTGGGCCCTGTGTGCTGGGCTGACAGTGAACTATGGGCAAGTCTGGGCTAGTCAAACAGGGAAGAGCATTGGGGCTCCCAAATGGTCCATTTCTGGGTCTCAGGCAGAAAGGAGCTGGACTTCCAGCCATAGCCTCACAAGCAATTCCACCAGACACCCTTTTGTGTGTCTGCTCAAGCTTGGACCTCACTGGAGAAAAGCTCTCTCAGGAGTGTCACTGAAAGTCTTCATGCTACAGTGACCTAAGCTGAACTGTTAGCAAGGAGGAGGACGGAAATGACACAGATGGAGAGTGAGGTGAAAGTTAGGGTTCTGGCCCCAGCACCCCAACCAAACCCACCAAGCATCTGTAGTTTGCTTTTAGAAAGCACACACACACATACACACGCACACAGCACAGTGTCCTAGACTCATTTTTATTAAATTTACTCATCATAATTCCCCAACAAGCTCCTTCTTGAGTTCCTAACCTGCCAAATTAATCTTTTCCTATCAAGACTGTCCTCCTCACCATCCCTGGTGTCCCCTCAATCCCCGTACCTGGGACCCACAGATCCATCAAAGCACCTGCCTTGCCCAAGACCTGGAGCTGAGATAGGGAATCAGCAATGGGCATCTAGAAAAGACAAAAGGCATAGAACAGGTGTTCTTTATGAGGCTGGGCTCTGGGCAGGTGCTTATAGGGGTTAGAGCAGTGCCCGTAGGAATCAGGCCTTGGGAGACGTCTAGGAAGGTATTGGGCCAGAGATCTGACATCTCTTTAGAATCAGGCTCTTGGGCATATCTCAGATGAGGTGTTTCCAGGGTGGTGGTGATGGTGGAGGAGTCCTGGGTTGAGGCTAGTGGAGGAGGTGCGCTCCCCATGTGAAGCTGGCCACGAGGAGGAGCAGGGCAGCGAGGAGGGGGCTGGAAAGCCGCTGCAGCGCTGTGGCTGTGTTGCACAGGTTTTGCTCACAGCAGTGGTGCTGCAAAGCGTAGGAGCGTGACCAGTAGGTGGCATGGCCCTGCAGAGGGCACTGGGCTCTTGGGAGGCAGCCTTTCCGCTCAATGATCTCACTCTGCTCTGTGGGACAGAGAGGGAACGCTGAGGCCCGGGCAGGAAAGAGGCAAGGGCTATGGGGCAGCAGGTAAAGCAGGATGGATGGATGGAGATGGGTCATGGGGCCAGAGTCCTACCTGAGGTGCCAATACTGATGCCACAAACTTCATCGTCCTGACACTCGGTGGGAACAGGGTAGCAGGGTTTGGCGAAGCTGCAGGTGTAACAATGGAGCCGGAGCCGTCCCCGGGTGGGGGGCGTGGTGAGACCTGGAGCGTCAGAAGAGATCAAGAGAGGCCAGCAGGCCGGTGAGAGGCTCGAGCCCAGATCTGCGACAGGGATTCACAGAGAGAGGTGACACACAAAGTGGGGAGAGGGAAGTAGTGAAAGGAAGGGAGAAGGGCAGGTAGAAGTAGTAAGAGACACGGGAGTGGGGGGACAACTCAGGAAAAGAGAAAGACATAGAGGCAAGAGAGATACAGAGGTTGTAAGAATGCACAGACATGATGGAAGCCAAGAGAGAGATGAATGCAGAGAGTGACACAAAATGCCAGACCGGGAAAGGCGGGGTGGCGGTGAAGAGGTTAAGTGAAATGTGCCACAGACGAGCAAATAGGAACTGACACTGACGATGGAGGGGCCCAGCAAAGAAGCAAGAGATGAGATAGGGGACAGGGGAGACAGAGGTCAAGAGGCATGTCAAAGAGATGCTGCAAGGAAGAGATAGTTATTGTCAAATGTCTTTGGAAAGAAATTTCTTGTTCCACCTTCGCCTGGCCTCAGGCCATTCCCCGGTAGCTCTTCTAAAGCCCTTACAACTCTCTTCTCCAGTCTTCCCCGCTTCTCCCCACCGGCCCACCCTTACCCAGTGCCCCACAGATGAACAGGATGCACAGGCAGATGCTGGAGGTGCCCATGGCTGGACCCAGGGCTCAGGAGTCTGGGAGAATGTGATCTGCACCTCAAGGTCCTGAGAGTTGGAGCATCTGAGCGAGACAGGGAGGGACCAGTAAACAAACACACCTAGGGAGTGAATCTGGGGGGTGGAACCAGGACCAGATCCACCAGCCTGACGCGGTAGGGTCCTGGGCCCTCTGCTCCTGCGCCCCACATCTCTCACATCCTCCCTGCCCCCTACTTTAGTCTGCTCAAATCTTCAGGGTCTTCTCCATTCTGTGTTTGTTACTCTCAGCTGTGGCTGCGTCTGCCGCTTCAGAGTTATGTCTGTCACCTTCCCCCTCCCTCCTCCCTCCCTCCCCTCCTCTCAAGCTGTTCTCAGCTCTGTCAGCTCAGCTCCCTGTCTTTGTTTGCTCCATTTTTCCCCTCTCCGTGCATTGAGTCTTTCAAGGTCACCCTCCTCAAAGCCCTGGCCCAGAATGGTTCCAGCGTGATGTTTAAATGTGGAATGAACACTACCATCTTCCACCTGCCCCTCTACACAAAGCTCAGCTGTCTAAGTGGGACCTCACCCAGCTTCAGGTCCCTTTGATCCCCCCAAGCCTCAACATTTGTACCCCATAATTATCCCTCCCAGCTTTACGACCGAGGAGGGAGGAATTAATCATGGGTGGGGCCAGAGGGACAGATGTGTTTCCGCTGGGGGGAGGGGGTCACTCAGAAAGACTTGGAAGGAATGTGGGGATAAGATTTAGAAGGTGGTGGTAGATTCTGGAAAATTGGGGTTTATGGCATTGGGGAGGAGAGCCTGATCTGGGGCATCAGAACAGGGATGTGCCAGGAGTAAGATAGGGGAGGGAGGGCAGAGGAGACAGATTTCCGAAACTTTTTTTTTAATCTCAGGACCTCTTCACACTCTTAAAAATAACTGAAGACCCAAAAGAGTTTTTCTTTGTGGGAGTTAATATTGGTATTTACTATATTAGAAATCAAAACAGAGCATTTTAAATAGATTTATTTAAAAATAAAAATAATAGGGGCGCCTGGGTGGCTTAGTCGGTTAAGCGTCTGACTTTCGCTTAGGTCACGATCTCGCGGTTCGTGGGTTTGAGTCCCGCGTCGGGCTCTGTGCTGACTGCCGGCTCAGAGCCTGGAGCCTGTTTCAATCTGTGACTCCCTCTCTCTCTGACCCTCCCCTGCTCATGCTGTCTCTCTCTCTCTCTCCTAGAAATAAATAAAACATTTAAAAAAAAATAAAAATAAAAATAATAAACCTATTACACGTTAACAAAACATAGTTTTGTGAAAAGTAATTTCTTTCCCAACAACACGGAAAAGTAGTATTGCTCCACACTTTGGGGGATTACATAAAAGTCGAGCTTAATAGAAGTTGGCCGGCTTTTTACATCTGCTTCTGCACAAAGTCTTTTGGGATATGTTGTTTTGGTGGAAGTATACAAAGAAAATCTGATCTCATGGAGATAGGAAGTTGGAAAAGGAAGACCACTAAGGACCTTCTGAAAGGGTCTAGGGCCAGGAGTTCTGGGGACACAGCTTTAGAACAGCTGATGAGGATGGAAGAATCTGGGAACTCCAGAAGACGCTGAGGGCTCTTCCTGCCTTGGGGGCCCCTCCCTGTCCCCCCTGGGGCCCCAGTACCTGCTGGGGAAGATTCTTTCCTCCCTTTTTATTGCCCTATAAAGCCTATAAAGCAAGGGGGATATAAGGCTGGCAAAGCAGGGCCAGGGAGGGGGAGTGGGAAAGAGAGGTGATCCTGACACAGGCAGATGGCAATGAACTCCCCAGTTGTCGGGGTCCTGCTTGGCACCCTGCTGGGGACTGCCTTGGGTAAGGAGGCAGCCAAGGCCCATTCCCCTCTGCCAATTGGCTCCTCCGTCAGCCTGTCAGCCCGGGTCAAGCACCTCTTCTTTCCTACCAGGAAACTATATGAGGTGCTATGACTGCAAAGGAGGCCCTAGCAGCTCCTGCAAAGAAACCGTGGCCACCTGCAGGGAAGGAGAGCGGTGTGGCTTCCTGGAGCGCAAACCCCAGCCAAGCCTGGGACAGAACAAGCTATCTGGAAACCGTGAGTCCTCAGTTTCTCCCTCTTCCCTCAGCCCTTCCCTGTCTCCAGCTCCTACTTTGATCCTTCTGGTTTCCAGAACCTCCTAGGCTCAGTCTGGCGCTGAGCAGATGGTGCCATGGCAGAGCAGAGCAGGCTGGAGCCCCTCTGGCTCTGGCACTGAGCCCCTCAGCAGCCCACTGTCCATGTGTTCCTACCTCCCCCTCTTAACTCTCCAGGGTTTCAGAGGCCCATTCACTCACAAACGATTGAAAAAGTTTTGGCCCTTGAAGGCAGGGACCAAAATAGTAAACCAAAATTGCAGCCATTAGATAAGAACCAGATGTGTGTGTGTGTGTGTGTGTGTGTGTGTGTGTGATTTTGAAATAATTTTTTTTTTAATGCTTTATTTATTTCTAGGAAAGAGAAAGAGAGAGACAGCGTGAGCAGGGGAGGGTCAGAGAGAGAGGGAGTCACAGACTCTGAAACAGGCTCCAGGCTCTGAGCTGGCAGTCAGCACAGAGCCCGATGCGGGGCTCGAACCCACAAACCGCGAGATCATGACCTAAGTGAAAGTCTGACGTTTAACCGACTAAGCCACCCAGGCGCCCCTTGAAATAATTTTTGAAAACTAGTATAAATAGTATAGAGAGTTCCTGTATATCCTTCACCTCTCTTCCTCTGTTAACATTTTATATAACTACAGTACAATTATCGAAATCAGAAAATAACAATAACACTGGAACAATACTACCAACTAATCTACAGACCTTATTCAGTTTAGCCAGTTGTTCTATGCATGTCTTTCTCCCATCCTGTACTGGAGCCAAACCAGACAAGAGTTCATCCACCTGCTGCACAGCAAGCCAATAAAAACTGACACCAAGCTCTTGCAGTGAAGAAAGATAGGCCTGGTGTGGTGCCACCCAGGATAATGGGGAGCTGATGCTCCAAAGTCCCATCCCCTCCCCAAATGCTTGCCCATGAAGGCTTTTGAGGACAAAAGTGGGGATGGGGGTCTCCTGAGAAAGTGGACACTGTTGACTGGAAGCCCATGAGGTCATGCTAGCAGGTGTTCTGGTGCTACTTCATCTGGTCCCCGGATGTCTTTTCCATCTCAGGAGACTTGTAATCTCAAAAATATCTTCATTCTTTATGTTAGAGATTTCATTAGGTACACCTAATGATTATATCTTTAGGATAGTGCTGATTTTAGATTTTAATTAGCTACTTGTTCTACAGGTTCCTTTGAATGAGAAGCAAGCATTCCTATCCCTTGAGCCTAGGCTACGTGTTCCTTTCGTCAGTCTACCTGTGCCTGTGGCTGATGGGACCTGTAGTGTTCATTTTTGCAGTCTCTTCTGATCAGTGACCGTTCTGAGTCTTTGTCTTCCATGACCTTGACACTTTGGAAGAGTCCTGATAAGTTATTTTACAGACCATCTCTCAATTTAGATCTATCTAGTATTGTCTCTCGATTTCTAGATTGCAGTCATGAGTTTTGGGCAAGAACAGCACAGAAGTTGGTCCATTTCAGTGCATTGAATTAGAGGGTTCACAATGTCAGTGTGAACTTTGGCCATTTGGTTTCATGGAGGTGTTTTTGTGAGGGGGCAGAGAATCCCTTTGGGCTCCCTGAAGTCACATCCACTCTGCCCTAGAAGGCAAGTCCTCAAGTGAAGACTCCAACACCCGAGTCTCATTCTTTCCTCAGCCTCAGTGACCTTGATTCATCACTATCCAACCTGCGTGGCGGCCCATCATTGCAATCAAGTGGAAACAGAGTTGGTGGGAGATGTGACTTACACAACCCACAGAGACTGCTGTGTCGGAGACCTGTGCAACAGCGCCGTGGCAAACACTGTGGCCCTGCCATGCTTCCTGGCTACAACAGTTACCACACTGGCCTGGCTTTTGCCAGTATTGTAAAGAGGGAAATAGGCTCAGCAAAGGAGCAAGGGTACAAAGGAGATTCAAGGTGGGAAGACAAACAGCCCTTTGTGAGCCATTAAAATCTATCTACCATCCTGGAGCTGACTGGAAAATTCTATCTTTTCTTGATGGGAGAATTGCAGGAGTATTATGGGGGCATCCACGCTCTAGTTTAGGGGTTATCAAGCATCAGTGGACTTAGTTATAATGGTGTACTCCTTAATCAATGAAACCCCAAGGGAAAATGGAGAATCCGCTCTAAGTGACTCCTGGACCCTATTGCTAGGGAGAGTCTTCTCTGGGCATGAGGGGCGTGGTCTCTGGGCTAAGTGGGGGTCATCAGAAATCAAAGAACCTGGTTTGGTTTGTTCCCCTTTCTCCCATTTGCAACTTGGTTCCCAATGTGGCTCTAAAGGATTGAGAAAGGAAACATAAGCACCATGGTAGGTGGGTTGCTTGGTGCCCTGCTTAGCAACCTGGCCAAGTGAGGCCCTTGACTCTAGCCTGAGGGACTGAGGCCTGTTAAAAGCATCCTGGATTCCATCACCATGCAACTCTCCTACCCTTTTTGTTGAGCCCTGAAGCCAGGCTGTACCTTCTTCTTGGCAGTGCATCAGAGGTATGGCCTAACTTTGGGATAAGAATTGTTGCTCCAAACACTGGGTCCTGTGTGCCACCCCCAGGCACAGGAATGAAGGATGGAGTCCTGAAAAATCCATTTCTCCATTTGCCCCAGCCCAGCCTCCCAGGGATACCCCTGAAGGATTCTTGGGGGAGGGCGGGAGCTGAAAGTGTTATTTCCTGAGGGGGGGGCTCTGACAAGAGGTCTTTTGACAATAAATACACAATTTATCAGACATAGATATTTATTACTCAAAATGGAAAGAAGTGAGAATGGGGATGGTGTTTATATGGGGGCCAGGGTTTGGGGAATCAGCCGCATACAGTGAGGTTATCAGTTCCTTCCTGGGAGCCTTCACTGAGGACAGAACTGAAGGCAATTTCAGGCCCAGGTCTCCATTGCTCCCCGAGTAAGGCACGGTAGAGTGCAGGAGGAAAAGTGAGAGCTCTATTTGGGGAAGATTTGAAATGGTCTAGAGGGATATATGCAGGGACTCAGGAAAAGCAGAGTGGAGAATGTAAGGTGGCAGGATGGATAAGGAGACCACTGTCTAATTAAAGAAACGTGAAGAGTCTTGAGAAATGTTTTTCTGAGCAAAGGGAGCTAAGGAGAGACCGTTGTAGGGAGCCAGGGGACAAGGAGACACAGGGCTGAGCTCAAGCTAAGGCACGTGGGAGGGGGGCAGCCATGGAGTGAGTGTCAGTGCAGCAGCCAGAGGCCAAGGCCAGCCAAAGAGGTCAGGAGGACAAGGGCCAGGGCTGGGGTGGGCCGAGGGGCTGGGCTGTTACAGTTGTCCTTGCTGCAGCAGGTGGTGTTATAGCTCAGGCCCAGCTTGTGGTTGGTTTGGTTGAAGATCTCCCGACAAGGCTCTTCTGGTGTGCCACATCGAAGGTTGGAGAAAACCCACATCTTACCTGAGGGTAAGAGTGGGCAGTGTGTCAGCTAGAATGGGCTCCTGGTATGCCTGTGTCCACCTCCCCTCCCCATGCACCCACCCAGGCTTCCTTCCCTACTCTGACCCTGGCCCTCCTCTCTTTATCTCTTCTCAGTAAGCCTGACTGTCTTCCTGCACTTTCTTCTCCCGCCCCCTCACCCCAATCTTGGTCCTATCACTCGCTGGCTGGGAGGCCTTAGACTTGTCAGTGTCTTTTTCTGAGGCTGTTTCCTCAGTATAATAAGAACACCCACATCATAGGATCCTTGAACATGAATTGAAACAACCCATGTAAAGTCGTAGAATGATGCCTGGCACATAAGAACCCTTGGCCAAATATCATCATTCCTGTGATTGTCCGTTCTGTCTCAGTCTGAGCAACAGTTGGACTTCAGCCCTCACCGTAGAGTCTCCCACCGGTCCCCTCTCCCCCCTAAAGAGAGGGATGTTACCGAGGTACACATTTGTTGTCAGGCACTGTTGTCCTGGTTCTAGGCGGCAGGACTGTCGGTCCACACAGCCCAGCACAGGGACCTTGTAGCAGGAGTGACAGCGAATGTCAGCTGGGAAGACACAAGTCAGGCTGAGGTAATGGGGTGTCTGACTCACCTGGGGGCCAGCGGAGTAGGGTGGAGAAGAACCAATCAAGTAGGTATTCTAACCTGTTGGGTTTGGTAGCAACAGAGCAGGTGAGTAAAGCAGAAACAGTGGAGGTGGAGGAGGGTGGAGCCACTGCTCTGTGAATGCCCACACGCTAAACATCATCCTTCACCCCACCTCGCCCAGGGATGAGTCAAGAGGGATAGACTACCAACAAAAACACAGGGCTGGGGATAGATGGAATGTGAGAGTACCGTGGGCAAGGAATGGAGGAGGCGGGGGGTGGGGGGGAGATAAAAGAATTCAGAAGACATCACAGATGGAGAATTGAAATTGGATGAAATATTACAACTAAGAATGATGGTTGCAGCACTTGAATAAATGGCTTGTAACCTGAAGATGGCAAGAAAGCCACTTACAGCCAGCTTTTTTTTTTTTTAATGTTTTATTTATTTCTAGGAGAGAGAGACAGAGACAGCATGAGCAGGGGAGGGTCAGAGAGAGAGGGAGTCACAGACCGAAACAGGCTCCACGCTCTGAGCCGGCAGTCAGCACAGAGCCCGACGCGGGGCTCGAACCCACGAACCGCGAGATCATGACCTAAGCGAAAGTCGGACGCTTAACCGACTAAGCCACCCAGGCGCCCCCAGCTTTTTTTTTTTAACTAAGTTTATTTTTGAGAGAGAGAGAGAGAGAGAGAGAGAGAGAGGGAGAGAGGCTGCGCTGTCAGCATAGAGCCAAACACGGGGCTCAAACTCAAGGTGGGATCATGACCTGAGCCAAACCAAGAGTTGGGCACTTAACTGACTGAGCCACCCAGGAGCCCCTGTGGTCACCTTTAGCAATTTACTCTCACCACCTGGGACCACCATAAGTGTGGGATCCTCTCACCCTGATGGCTCTGAGACAGAAAGGAAAAATATCTGGGAACCAGATCATCAGATTCCATCTGAGCACCTTACCAAAAGGGGGAGAATGGGTGCAGAGTGTGTCACCCTCCAAGTTCCCACCGCAACTAACTGCAGGTTTGGGTGAGCAAAGTTTGGCAAAGGAGGGGTTCAGTCCAAGAGTAGAGGGACCCGCTGACTGCACCTCTGTGCAACAAACCCATTTCACCCTGGGGGTGATCAGACCTGGCATTCCCTCCCTAGAAGGCTGGAATATCTCTCCGGTTCCCTTGGAGGTTCTAAGAGATCCCTGGGAGCTTCCAGAAGGCTTGCGTCCCTGGGGGTATGCTCCCCAGGGAAGAGCAGGGGTGCACTAGTAAAGGCCACTGCTTGAATGACTGAGAACAAAATCTGATGGAGTAGATGGGGAGGGTGGGGTGCACAAGAAGCCCCAGGCTGGATACCTAGGTTTCTGGGAGGACTCTGCTGAGTGCAGGTGGTAAGAGGAGAAATCAGTAAGCTGGGCCCCAGAGGGTTTGGTAGTGGAGTGAGGCACGGGGGACCTGGAACCCTGGCAGATTAGGAGAGTGGGTCTTGGAGGTGGGGAGAAGTGTGAAGGAGACATGGGTCCTTGAGAAATAGAGCAAAGACCCTGTGACAGGGAGGCCTGATTCTGGAGTCACAGGAGAGCTGAGCCACCAGTTGGGATGCTTCGGATCCTAAGCAGTAGGCAATGGAGGGCAGTGGGTGGGGCAAGCTGTAAAAGTCCTTGGGGCCCCTAGGTGCTCACCTGAGACCCAGCAGAGCAGAGCAGACAGGGTGAGCAGCAGAAGGCCTTTCATGATGAGGATCCTGAGAATGGTAGCAAGTACAGCAGCTGACAGTAGATTTTTAGGGATCTGGCTCTGGGAGTTGAGTGGCCTTTTTGGAATTTATAATCCCAATGGTCCCCTCCCTTCTCTGCCTCTGGTGGCCCCTCCTCCATTTACACACAGCTGACCAGGAGTTGGGAGGTACTAAGCAGAACTGGGTGAGGGAGTAGGGATGGGAGAGAGAGGTAGAGGAGGGTAGGTGAACTAGTGGCCAACTCCATTTCGGTTCTTGGTCTCAGGATGACCTCCCTCCTGGTTCCCAGCTGACAGCCCTGCCTGCCCAGTTCTCTGAAGAGGCATCACCAAAGTCCCCTATGATAGTACAGTGGCTGTGGTGGCAGTAGCTGCTGCTTCCTGGGAAATGGACAATGGAATGTACCATACATTAATTGCCAAATTTGAGTCCCTGTAGGGACATGTGAGCAGAAATTGAAGATAGAGAGGCTCCTGGGTGGCTCAGTCAGTTGAGTGATTTCAGGGCAGGTCATGATCTCAGGGTCTGTGGGATTGAGCCCCGCATTGGGCTCTACTGCTGAGCATGGAGCCTGCTTAAGATTCTCTCTCCCTCTGCTCCTCTGCCCTGCTTGTGTGCTCTCCCTCTAAAAGAAAAAAGAAATTAACGATGGAAGACGCCAACTTAATCTTGATTCAGCCCTGACTTGATCTTCCAAACACCTGATCAGCCACAGGACAAAGGATGAAGGGTTTGTGATGTCACCAAGGGCTTCCATGATGTCACAAGATAAGAGGAATAGGCTGGGGCTGCCTGCTGAGGGTCTCAGAACTTGCCTTGGCTAAACCAGGGGTTGGCCTGGCTTGGGCTGTTCTAGTTCAGTGAGGGCCAATGAAGCAGGGTGTGGGGCATATGCACCTGTGCCAAAGTGTCTTTCAAATCAAAACCTGCCAGTCTGGGTGGGGCACCAGTGGCCAGGAGGAACACCGCAGGCACAGAGAGGTGAAGTAGAAGCTAAGACTATAAGTAGTAGTAGTAGTAATAATAATAATAATAATAATAATAATAATAATGGTGAGCACTTAGTGCTCTTATGTGTCAGCCATTGTTCTAGATGTTTTACATGTATTACTCTTCTTATTTCTCAATACTCTGTGAGGGTGCTTTTATCCCTCCTTAACAGATGAGCAAAAGCCCAGAGAAGTTAAGTGACTTGCCCACATCACTCAGCTAGTAGATGGGAAGTCAGGATTTGAACTTAGCCAGCCAGCCTGGATGCTCTGGGCCACTGCTAGCTGCAGAAGTTAAAGTTTTGCAAAAGTGTTCTGTGACCAGCCCACTTTTAATGAGTATTGTTTGAGAGCTGTGAACGAGCATGCAAGGAAGGACTCCCAGAGGGATCCCGGCAGCTGGTAGCCGCGCGCCCCTCTTATCTGAGCGCCCAGACCCGCGCCCCCCCCCCTTGACCCCAACCCCCTAGTTTCCCTCCGGTCGCTTCCGCTGATCCACTCCCTCCTCTCTCCATCACATCCCAGTCATGGCCTTGGTTCTGCAACTGCTGCCGTTGCTGCTGCTGCAACTGCTGCCGTTGCTGCTGCTGAGGGCCCAGGGAGACCCCGGTGGTAAGCCATCCCCACAAGGAAGTTGAGATCGGTGCCAGGAAAGACTGAGGTAGTGGGCGGCCCGGGGTAGGGGTGAGGTGGGGGGGGTAGGAGGAGGAAGATGTGTCGGGGAAGATGGAGGCGCGCAGGAAAGTAGAGGAGAGGGGAGAGAGAGGAGACGGGAGTGGGGTTCGTCCCAAACTGTGCACTTGCCCTAACCACTGCCCCCTCCAAACCCAGCTTCACTGGACGGCCGCCCTGGAGACCGGGTGAATTTCTCCTGCGTAGGGATCTCGCATCCCATCCGCTGGGCCTGGGCGCCTAGTTTCCCGGCCTGCAGGGGCCTGTCCAAAGGACGCCGCCCAATCCTGTGGGCCTCATCCAGCGGAACCCCCACTGTGTCTCCCCTCCAGCCCTTTGCTGGTCGCCTACGTGCCCTGGACCCTAGTATCCGGCGGCTGGAGCTGCTCCTGAGCGCGGGGGACTCAGGCACCTTTTTCTGCAGGGGCCGCCAAGAGAAGGAGAGCCGTACTGTGCTGCATGTGCTAGGGGACGGGGCTGATTGCAGGGCTCCGGGGCCTACCCACGGTAGGTCCAGGCCTTTGCGCACGGGAACTTAACTCGGACACACACCCTGGGGAGGGAGAGAGGCCTTGGCTGGGGGTTCCTGAGGGGAAGAGTCAGTCCTCGCACCCCTGACCTCGGCACCCATCGCCATCCCCCCCTCCGTTCCCCCAGGGTCTCTGTATCCCCAGCTCCTGATCCCACTGCTGGGCGTTGGGCTGCTGCTAGGACTCGGGGCGTTGGGCGTGGTCTGGTGGTGGCGCAGGTGAGCACAATGGGCGGGGCCTGGATACTTGGATCTTGACCCGAAGTGGGAGGGTCAGGACCTGAACCTTCGCAGACTTAAGCTAGAGACGGGGCATGTGGTTTAGAGAAAAATGGGGAAGGTCACAACTTGGGCCGAGGCCACAGACCGTAGGTGAAGCCCTGGCTTGGGAGGTGAAGCTAGAGCTGGAGCAGGATCAGAGCATGGGCGGAATTATCTGTAGGAGTGGAGCCTAAATTGTTTTTGTGGGCCTGACCCTTCCGAGTTGCTCGGTTGCTGTTGGTCCCGAGGAGAACGAGAGACAAAATTGGTGGCGCTCAAAGACTCCTATACATCCGTTGCAGGCGATCACCCCCGCAACCGCCTCGACCGCTCCCCAGATTTGGTGAGAATAATTCCACCTCATTTTCCTTCTATTGCTCCCGCACTTCCCATCTCTCATTTCCTGAGTCTGAGCCCTTACTGGGAGCAGACAAGTTGGTCATTTTCTCTCAATTCTTCAGCTCTGTCGCCTCCATATAGATCCACTGCTGACAGTCGAGACCCAGAGGCCAGTAAAGGAGGAGGAGCCTAAGGTCGCAGGGGACCTGGACCAGGAGCCGGTAAGGGCCTGGGGATTGGAAGAGGGCTGGCCAGAATCCCCGAGAAAAGGCCTGTATCCCCCAAGGAGTCAGATCTCTGAGACCCTCCTGCTTTCCTGCCCACCTTTCAGAGCCTGCTCTATGCAGACCTGGATCATCTGGCCCTCAGAAGTCCCCTCCAGTTATCTCCAGTGGTTTCTGCTGATGCCTCCACCATCTATGCAGTTGTAGTTTGAAGGGAAATCCTTATTCTGAACTTGGCAAGCTGGGGGTTCTCAGCTCTCCACAACTCCCACCCCTTCTTGGCCCCTCATCTGGAGAAGGAATGGGGTAAAAATGAGCACTAGCCTGAGAGTCAGGAGCCCTGGGTCTCAGGCTATCTCTGCCACTGATCTAGCTCCTTCAGTTACCCCATCTCATAACTTTCTTGTTTCCTTCACCACTGGTGCCCTCTCTAAACCTGATCAAGCCCTGTCTCCCTATCTTAAGACTTCAACAACTCCTAGATAGTTGTCCTACTCTTCTTTTCTCTCCACAGTCCAGCTCTTTGAACCAGGGGCCTACACTTGTATTTTCTTCTCCCTCCCTCCACCCCACTTGCTCATCTGCTCTCCATGAGGTTGCCAGTGAGGTCCTGAGGGCCACACCCAGTAGATTTTTTTTTTAATTTTTTTTTTTTAATGTTTTATTTATTTCTAGGAGAGAGAGAGAGACAGCGTGAGCAGGGGAGGGTCAGAGAGAGAGGGAGTCACAGACTGAAACAGGCTCCAGGCTCTGAGCTGGCAGTCAGCACAGAGCCCGATGCGGGGCTCGAACCCACGAACCATGAGATCATGACCTAAGCGAAAGTCGGACGTTTAACCGACTAAGCCACCCAGGCGCCCCACCCAGTAGATTTTTTTAGCATTCATCTGGCTTGATCTTTGATTACTCCCTTCTTTAAGCTCTGTTTTTCTTTACTGCTGGTGTCTTCCTTTTGGACTCTCCTTCCTTGCTTCCTACCCCCATGGTATTCCCCCCCCCCCATTCTATGTTTGTCCCTTTCCTTATCTGACTTCCCTCTCTTTGGGAATCTGTCATCCACAGCTAGTTCTTAGCCCTCACCTCTGCAAACAACACTCAGAACTCTCTCCAGCTCACACCCTGGGTAATGGGATCTCCCAACCATTGCTGAGACATCTCTGTCTGGTCGGCCTAGGCATTTTGCACACAGCATATCCAAAACCCAACTCATTGTCACTTAATCCTCCTCTGCATTCTCTCTTGATCAACCCAGTTGCCTAAGCCAGAAACTGGGAGTCAGGCAGACCTTCTTCCACTCACTCCCACACAATGAACCGAGTCCTATTTTAATGTCACTGTGAAATCCCTACTCTTCTTCACGCCCAGGGCTACCACCTGAATGCACCCTCCTCATTTCCTCCCTAGTTACCCATAGCATCCTCTTACCTTTGTCCTCCTCCCTCAAGCCAGAGGGAGCCTCCCCAAATGCCAACCTACTCCTCCTATTCTGTATTCCAGAACTGCAGTATTTCTTTCCATAACCTTCAGCTCTGGAGCCATGGGCCTAGGCTTTGGGTACAAGGTGCTGCAGCACTCTGCCTACTGTCCAGCCTTGCCCCCCTCACTCCACAAGCACACAACATGCCAGCCTTGGAGAGATACTCCCCAGCCTCCAAATATGCCTTTGCAAAATGCAAGTCCTTCTTCCTGGATCACTCTTCATCCTCCTCCCCACCACCTTCCTGGCTAATTCTTCTTTGTCATCAAGACTCAGTTGAAATGTAGCCTTTCCTGGGAAGCCATACCTGACCCTCTTTGCCTACCCCTGCATACATCTTGATGCCTTAGACGCTCTCCTTATTTACGTCATAGCAACAACATCCTGTGAATTGTTCCATCACCTGTATTTCAATTTCAATATATTGTGAGTTCCCTGATATCAGGATATTGACCCTTTTTATTCTACTGCTAAGCCTCAGTAAATGAGTGAATGAAAATGAATGTCCCTGGAAGTGTCATTTCCTCCTCTCTATCAGCTAGGAGTGGGTTGGTAATCTACCAGTCTCTGAATCACCTGACATTTTGATAAATTGAGTGATCCATCCATACTCTTTCTTTTCTCCCTCATACATGCTGCCCACAATAGAAATTCTGTTCTGTCCATCTTGTGCCTAAACACCTATGATAGGGCTGGGCAATGAGTCAGTAAGTGCCTAATGAGGGTCTGATGAATGAAAGAGGCCTCCTTCCCAGCACTAACTCCAGATTTCAGCCCTTCCCCTATCCCTCTGCCCCAATAAGACACAAGCCACAGCCCAGTTTAAAAGGTTGGTTCTGTTTTATTAGTTCTGAGGAAGATGACTCACCCAGTAGACTCTATCCTTTTTCCCACACTAAGCCCTCCCCCCACATCTTGGGGCCCTCTCCCCACTACTACCTATTCACTGTCCTCTATTTAAGCCTCCTTGCCCTTCTACTCCCTATGCTGCCCTACCCCTGGCCAGCCAGGACCCCAAGGCCAGGCCCTCAGTTGTGGGGGCGTGTGCTGAGCACCAGGCAGAGGGAGCTGAGCCCAGCACCTGCCTTCTCCAGTTCTGAGCAGGACACAGGTACCAGGGTGACATCAGAGAGCTTCTGCAGTGCCTGCAGGGAGGATATAAAGTGAGGAGAGGGGAGTAAGACCCTGAGGTCACAGCCAGGCCCTTCTTCTAGCCAACTCAGGGTGGCACCACCGATACTTCCAGAGATGGTACCCCTTCTTCCTCCCACTAGGAAGGCCTGAGACCCCTTTCTCTGGTTGGTGGCAATGGTGGAGCTGCTGCTGTCCCTCACCTCCTGGCTATTGGGCAGGTCCCCGCCTCCACGGTGCAGGAGGAAAGGGGGCACACCAGGCAGCCCAGGACGCAGAAAGAGACAGTCAGCGGCTGCGTCATCCGGGAGTGTCAGGGACGCATAGGGGTGGTCTGTCAACACTGCCATGGCCTGAAGGAGAGAAAAGAGGAAGTGCTCAAGCTCAGAGGGCTGGGGACACAGTTACATTTGTTGTATAATAATGCTAGCAAGCACTTAGTCCTTAGTGTGTGTCAGACAGTGTTCTGAGCGATTTAGTTACCTCTGTTCCACTTCAGACTCACAAATACTTCTTTCTACCTGCAACTCTCTTCCCCCCTTCTCCAGCCCCTCCCAGTCAATCTCATGAATCATTCAAGTCATAGCTTAGATGCCATCTTTTTGGAGCTTCTTGAAACTCGGGAAGACGATGTTAATCTACTGTGTTCCCGGTCTTTGTCCTGCTAGTATAACAACTTATTGCTTTCTCACAAGTTTTCACACTAGATAGTCCGCCCCATGAGGGCAGGGGTTGGAGTTAGTTCTCTGAACCTCTCAGCTTTTAGCCTTGCGGGCCAGGAGCCACGCCCACTTTTGTGGCCACTCCCCGGACCTGCCCAACCGCTGCCCCACCTCTCCTCACCCTGACAGCTTTTTGGGCGGCTTCGCTGCTACCAGCTACCACAGTGCGGGGTCCCCCCATGCCGCAGAGGCCGCGCAGGTGGGAGGGGCTCGAGACCGGCACTGTGGAGACAGCAAAGTCCTAGGGGCCACAAGAGAAAGAATTCAGGGAAGCGGGAGGTGTCAGGGGATTCCCTAAAACGCTAGCTGCTTTTAGCTCCTCCCTCCCCCGCGCCCCACCCCGCGGCCTTCCTACCCCCAGCTCCCGGCTCCCCCAGCACAGAGCTGGTCCTGCTCCTCACCCGAAACGTGTCCGCCACTATCTCAGCTCCTCGGTGATTGGTCCACTTGGAGAGGCCTACGAAAAACTCCCGGCCTGAGCCCAGGGAGGCCGCGGAGGTTTGAGAGCGAGAGTGAGTTGGAAACAAGGCCTGACATGGCCCAGTCTCCTAAACTCTGCTTCCCAATGCAAAGCCCCAGGGATGCAGGCACCCCAGCCTCACCGGTAAAGAGAACATCAGTGCCATCCAGCGTCGCGTTCTCATCCCCCATCTCCACAATCCGGAGCCCAAGGTCCTGAAGGGCTTTGCGGACTCCATCGACCTTAGGGCACGAAAAGAGGGCGCGAGGCAGAGAAAGCCTCGCACATCCAGCACCCCCTTTCCTCTTACACCACCCGCACCCTGGCGCTCACCTCCGGCCTGCGGGCGGGGCTCCAGGGCCGCGTGATTAGAGCCGTGTCCCCTTGGATCACGGCGGTGTCACCGAGCAGCGGTCCCAGCGGCAGCGACTCTTCAGGAGGAAGTTCTAGCAGCTGCAGCCCCAATCGTTGCCTCAGTTTACCCCCCAGTACCCCGTGCTCCCTCTGAGCTTTAGCCAGGTCCAGAGCCGGGAGGCCAGCTCCCGCACCCTCCCCCGAAGCCAGGCTCTCTGGGACTCCCCGGATCAGGGCGTGGGAGCAGCGGCCCAGCCCCTCCCCTGGCGTCCCCATCCCATCCACACAGTCTCCCCCTCCGGCCGCGCTGATTTCTTAGTTTTCTCTTTTTACTTCACCTGTCTGGGAGAAGAGACAGAAAGGGAAGAAGGCAGAGAAAGAGACATGCACAGAAGGGCGTGCGGGGAGAGGGGGGGCGGGGGATGGTTAAGAGCGCCCGGGTCTTCTTTCTGCCATCTCCGGGCGCCCCTCCCACTTCGCCCCACCCCCTCCAGATCTTTCCCTCCCGCCAACCCCATTCCATCCCGCACCCTTCGGGGTCTGCTGCTTTGGAGGGAGTCCAAGGAACAAGACCGGGACCCCTAATCTCCAAACACCTGTTGCCCCTGCTGGGGGCTTCGTGAGGTCCCTGCTAGGCGCCCCTCTTGGCAGCCGCTAGGATGCGCTCACTCTCCAAAAATGCAATGGCCCCGCCCCCTTAACCCTCAGTTGCTCGCTGCCATAGGGACCCGAAGTGTGGCGAGGGACCCAAAGGGGTTATGGGACAGGAGGAGACAGCTGAGGTGATAGAGCCTGAGAGATGGAAGTCCTGAATGCCCAAACGTGAAAGGGAGAGAGGGGCAACCAGGGAGGAATTAGAGCCTAAGGAGTTAAATATCTTCCCTCCACCCCGGCCAGTCTGGTCGTGCTGCCCCTAACGCGACCCAGTAGAAACCAGACCGAGTCCCGGAGGACTGGGAGAGGTCTAAAACGAAATCCAAGGGGCGGGGAAACCGGGGGCGTGGTCCCAGGGAGCGGGCTCCACTCCCGGGTCCAGGACCCTGTCTCCCCGTCCATCTACCCTAAAGTCTACCCAGCTCAGCTCCGCACCCAAATTTTGGCCTCCTGTACTCTGTCGGGTATCAGGCACGGCCCCGGCAACCTCAAACTCTGGCCCCCACACGGTCCGGAGGACATCTCCAACCCCTAGACTTACCTCTAGCCGCCACCCAGACTCCGGCGCTCTTGTGTTCTTGGCTGGGGCCCCACCCCCCTGAGGACAGAGTTGGTTGGAGAAGGGAGTCCTAGTCTTCAAACCCCGGGGGCTGGAGCTCTTGGCTTTTGAGGGGTCCCTGGGTAGGCGAGCTCAAGAACTACGGTGGGGCGGGGGTGCGACTGTCTGGCGGCTCCGGGGCATTGTCTAAGCGGGACGGGGCGGGGCTCATCTAGGCCACGCCCATTCCGCCCTGCTATGCCGCGCCCACTCCACGGGGACTGA